TACTTTTGGTACTTTGACCAAATCCGCCCCGATTTGTCTGAAATTTTCAGGGGGTTTTAAACACAGTCTAGAGAACCCATCTATGACTTTTGAACTCATTTGGTACCAAAAAAATCCTCACATCTCGTCGAAAAATCTCTGGTTCAAACAACTCGCACTCTTACAGATAATCACACAGTACCGGAAAGTACCACAGGCAAATCCGACCCAATTTGTGTGATTTTTCTGAAACTTTCAGAGAGCCTTAAAAAAATTGCCTAAGTACCTACTTGGTACTACCAAAAGGAAACAATTAAAAAAATTTTTTTTTTGGATTTTTAGCTTGTCAAAAAATTTCAAAATCAAAAAAAAACTAACACAACATTCTTAGTTTTGCATGAAAATAGCTCAAATTAATGTGTTCCTGTAACTCGCCCAAATTTAAACCGATTCAAATAAAATTTTTTTAAGACCTCAAAAATTTGTCTAAAGAACCCCCCTGTAAAAATTAGACCCATTTAGGTAACTTATAAGTCTAAAAAAAATCTCCATTTTCTTAAATTTTTGGGCTAGTTTAAGTGCTAAAATTGGCACTACTTATTATAACTCGGGCAAATCTGAATCGATTTGTCTGAAATTTTCAGAGAGCCTTAAAAACTGCCTAAGCACTTTCCTGGTACTACAAAAAAAAGCAATTACACAAAAAAAAAAAATTTTGTATTTTTGGCTTGTCAAAAAAATTTAAAATAAAAAAAAATAACACAACATTCTWAATAGTGCATAAAAATAGTTCAAATTTGCACTATTTATAGATCACAGTACACATTTCTATAATCAGGACACAAATTTATTTTGAAAAATTTACATTTTAGACCAATTTTGAGGGCTAATTGCGATAACTCGCCCAAATTTGCACCGATTCAAATAAAATTTTCACCAGACCTTAAAAACCATCCAAGGAACCCATCTGTAAAAATTGAGCCCGTTTGGTCAAAAAAAATTTGAGGGGTAGTCTAGGTGGTACTTTTGGTACTTTGACCAAATCCGCCCCGATTTGTCTGAAATTTTCAGGGGGTTTTAAACACAGTCTAGAGAACCCATYTATGACTTTTGAACCCATTTGGTACCAAAAAAATCCTCACTGACCTATCCATCTCGTCGAAAAATCTCTGGTTCAAACAACTCGCACTCTAGATAATCACACAGTACCGGAAAGTACCACAGCGTCACGTGTAACCCGCATTGAAGACGACAGCACGCTGAAGACTGAAGATGTTGAGATGGACCGACCCAAACAATCATTCTCTCTTTCTCTCCTCCACTTGAGAGTGATTTCTTCATCGCTCAGCACACTACGACCTTTCACAACACTCACACGCAACAAAGGCCATTCGAAATATTATTTTCACAAAGCCCCGCCACCCGAGTTTCGGATGCTGAATTATAACAATCGGATGAATTATGGCACGACATCTTTTAACCTTTCAAGAGGAAAATGCCGACGAGATGGACGGTCACGATGCGCTTGGAAACTAGACACGAAGAAGAATTAAAATTATAAGTGCAGAAATAATTAACATTGCAATGATTGCAACAACTAAAAAGAATTTAACGAAAAAAAAAATGAGAAAAATTCTTTGAGAATTGTGCTACCAAATTATATCAAAATTTTGAAAATGTAATTTTTTGTAATTTGGGCAAAAAATCGCCAAAACAAGCGAAAAAACCTGGGAAATCTCGTTATTTTGTACGTTTTTTGAATTCTTATTTTAAGTCAAAAACAAACAGTCAATTAGTTAAAAAATCTCGTAATTTTTTGAGTTTGTTAAGAGAATAAACCACCAAATTGGTTCAAAATTCATTTTATTTTTTGCTTTTTTCAAATGTTTTAAAACGTTTTTTAACCAAAATGTACTATTTTCTAAAAAATTACTTTCATACTAAGCGAATAACCAACAAATTATGTGATATATTGGACAAAAAATCGCCAAATTGAGACGAAACAAGCAAAAAACCTAGGAAATCTCGTTATTTTGTGCGTTTTTCGAGTTTTTTTTAAGTCAAGAAAAACACTCAATTAGTTCAGATTCACATTCAGACACTATTTCCAGAAATTGCTTTCATACTAGTCAAAAAAATCATCAAATTATGCCAAAAATGATGTTATTTTTGTGTTTTTGAAATTCTAACACTTTTTGTGATATTTTGCCGAAAAATTGACCTTATTTTTGTTTGTTTTTCTTGATGTGCCCTGTTTTTGAGGAAACTTTTGTTAAACCATTGCCAAAAATCACAAAATTCGGTTAAAAATGATCTTACTTTTACTTTTTTCAAGTACTGAGCACCTTTTTTTAAGCAGAAACGCATTTTTTGCAAAATAAGTCTAAAAACTACTAAATTACTCCAAAAATCTTGTACTTTTTCGCGTTTTTTGAGCATTGGAACACATTTTGAGTTTATTAAGAAAAACCACCGAATTGAATCAAAATTCATCTTATTTTTGCTTTCTTTAAAATGTTTTAAAACGCTTTTTTACCCAAAATGCAAAATTGCTTTCACACCAGTCGAAAAATCATCAAATTTTGCCTAAAATGATGTTATTTTGTACGTTTTTTGAATTCTTATTTTAAGTCAAAAACAAACAGTCAATTAGTTAAAAAATCTCGTAATTTTTTGGACATTTTTTGAGTTTGTTAAAAATGATCTTACTTTTACTTTTTTCAAGTACTGAGTACCTTTTTTTAAGCAGAAACGCATTCTTTGCAAAATAAGTCTAAAAACTATTGAAACACATTTTGAGTTTATTAAGAAAAACCACCGAATTGAATCAAAATTCATCTTATTTTTGCTTTCTTTAAAATGTTTTAAAACGTTTTTTTACCCAAAATGCAAAATTGCTTTCACACCAGTCGAAAAATCATCAAATTTTGCCTAAAATGATGTTATTTTTTGTGTTTTTTGAAATTCTATGCTCATTTTTAAGTAAATACTTTTTTGTGAGATTTTGTCAAAAAATGACAAAATCAAAACAAAATTGACTATATTTTTGTTTGTTTTACTTGATTTGCCCTGTTTTTGAGCAAACTTTTGCTAAAACATTAGAAAAAATTATTATCTTATTATTACTTTTTTTTTCACAATTCTTTTGCAAAATAAGTCAAAAAAACACTTAATTAATTTTAAAAAATCTCGTCGTTTTCGCGTTTTTCGAGCTCTTAAGCACATTTTTTTTTGAGTTTGTTAAGAAAAACCACCAAATTGAAACAAAATTATGCTTGTTTTTTTTTGCTTTTTCCAAATGTTTTAAAAAGTTTTATAACTAAAAATGTACTGTTTTCCAAAAATTTCTTTTATATTAAGCAAAAAATCAACAAATTATGTCGAAAATGATATTATTTCTTTGTAATTTGGGCAAAAATCGGCAAATTGAGTCGAAATTAAGCAGTTTTTTGAGTTTGTAAAATACACTGTTTTCCAGAAAGTCTTTGACCCTAGTCGAAAAATCTTCAAATTTTTTGTATTTTTGAAATTCTAAACACATTTTTTGTGAAATATTGCCAAAAAATGACGAAATTAGATCAAAATTGACCTTATTTTTGTGTTTTTTTCGATTTGAACAAACTTTTGCTAAAACATAGCAAAAATCACCAAATTG